TATTGATCTTGTCCAAGCATTAGAAAAATATGTTGCCAATGGTTATTTAAAACCAACCACTTTGTTTATTACTTTTGATGTTGAAAATCTTTATACAATGATACCACGACAAGGTGCTTTAGAAGTATTATTACAATTTCTAGAGCGAAATTTACGTAATAATAAAATCGGTACATTACGTATTGATGATATTATGAGAATGGCTCGTCTCGTATTGGATACGAATATTTTTGCTTATGAAAATAAATATTATCGACAAATACGTGGTGGAGCAATGGGATCTGCCTTTACACAAACTTTAGCTAATATTTATATGCTAGATTGGGAACAACAACTAATGCATGACCAACAAGCAGATCAGGAAATTGATGGAAGGTTTATTCAAAATGTTTGAGTGTTATTCAATACTACTTATAATATTTTCCTTATTCTCTTTAGATATATTGATGATGTATTTATGACAACAAACTTAACACATGATCAAATCAAAATAAGATTGGACAATGCTCATAGAGAAGATCCCAATATCCGTATTTCTTATTCTATTCAATCTACTATCGACTTTCTTGATGTTACCGTCAACAATGAACATAGTCACTTGAAAACATCTATCTTTCATAAATCAGCAGCTGAACCTTCTGTATTACCTTATACTTCGGATCATCCTCGACATGTTTTTCGTAATATACCGTATGCTGCTTTATTAAGAGCTGCACGAATCTGCTCAAATGTAGAAGATTTTGATATGGAACGTATTCGTATTGATTTATCATTATTACTCAATGAATATCCACCTTCATTTATATCCAAACATTTTCATCGATTCTTCGAAATCAATCAGACTATGGCAGTATTTGAAAGACTCGACTCGCAAGTATACTACCAATTACACCAACAATTACTTCATAAGCCCACAAGAAGAGAACAGCAACTGCAACAAGCAACAGGAGACATTGATGTTTTACCTGAAGTATTACAAAGAAAGAAACCTTGGGATTCCAACGTCATGTATGTCAAATATAACTTCGAAAGTGGACCAAGATTAGCTTTTCAACGTGATTTCCGCACATGGTGGAAAAAGCATTTTGCATATAAAGGATCTAATGTGGAACACGTTCAACTAAAATTTGCCGTAAAAACAAATTACACTTTAGAAGACATGTTTATACGCAAGAAACCACCATCGGCAATGCTAAAACGCAAGCCTACCAATGTCTTACAACAAGCTACCTAGGTACATATACATTTATAAAGAATCTTAAATTTTATTTATTTCACTTTAGAACGAAGATTTAATGTAAAAAATGAATATTTCATTTAAATCAGGTTATCATAATATTTTTTCTTGCTATGATATATAATATGAAATCATAAGCATTTACGATAGTTTTTGTTTTAATTCTCTTCATAATTTTAGATAGCTGAATATCAATCGAAAGTATTCTTTAATACAAAATAAATGGCTGATTCAGATCGAAACGTAAGTTTAACTCTGAAAAAAAATCAACAACATTTACTCAATATTAATGACAACTATCTATTATAGATTGAAAGAGATATCAATCGATTTGATGATATTTTCCATCGATGTGATGATGATATTGATGAGGAAGAAGATACAAACATTGATTTTGATAACCTTTATATGAATATTGGCAAAGATAATAATAATGATGTAATTGAAATTGAGCAATTAAATGATGATAAGAATAATTTGATTGATTCCGTGTTCAAAGAAGAAAATTTATCTCAAAAATTAAGTCAATTATCAGCTACTGATAAAGGGCAAGAGGATAGCGATAAATCTAAACCATCAACTGTCAAGAAATGACCAACTTTAACACCAAGTACAACAACAGATAACATATCGAAAAAAATGAAACCCGATAAAGAAGAATCAACTAGTAATCAAATACCAAGATATTTATCAAGTCATAATAAAGCTTTTGAATAAATGATCAATCCTATACTTGAAAAAACAACAACAACTTCTATCAATATTGAATATTTATGAGAGATTGCTATTCTTATTCACCAACTTGAATGCATTGATCTTGATAGATTACTATAGACTACATATTTACGTTCTGGAACAGGTAGATTAAAGCCAGAAGCAACTACATGGACACTCTTATTATGGCCTTTAGAAGTTAAACAGAGAATGATAGATCGTGGTCAAACAACTGCATCTGATCCAAATGAAATAGATCATGCTTCTTGTTTGAATTATGTTCAGAGAGTACTACAAAAATTTCGAAACCAAACTGAACATTATCAAGCTCAATTGAAAGAAAGAAAAAAATGTTTAAACAATTGTTGGACATGTGAAATCGGAGAAGCTATTACTAAATTTGTTCAACAACATGTCACACCTATATATAAAGTACCTACAGAATGACAAATTGCTATCGTTCAATATGATTATAATGATCGATTGATTCAATTAGAATATTATCAACAAAATCCAAATGAATATCAAAAACAAATATTTGAAAATCTTACTCAAGCCAAATATGAAAAAGAAACAGCTAAATTTGATGTAGCTATATTAAAACAACGTATTGTTTATAATCATTTACCAACATCATTTGAATCACTTAAAATACCTCCACCCATATCATTCGATACAATTACTGATACGATGACTTGTCAACGTTTAAAGGATCGATGTGAGAAAATTTTACAACGAACGAAATCCGAAATGATGATGATTTATATTACAACAGCCGAAACAAAAATGAATGAATATGAAAAGAAATTCGATACAGACTTGGCTAAAATGAAAGAAAATCAATGTTCTGGTCCATCACATAAAAAATTAACTCAAACAATGTTGAATATTATGGAACGACGTTTTAAGAATATTAATGAACGTCTTATATGTCTTTACAAATTAAAATTACGTTTTTTCGTCAATGCTCCGACGGTCAAGAATTAGATTGGATCGATCGTCGGAGCATTTCTATCCAAAAATCAAATATCACTTGTTCACCATCAATAGTTCAAGACACATCACATCATCTATCACAGGAACAAGTTACATTTCTTAATCGTGGACCAACCTATGTTCCACCATGTCAAATACATATTTTATCAAAATCTTCTTTACTACTGGCTCAAATCGTTACGAAACAAATGGCACCACTTCAACGAGAACTTGCAAAACTTTTCATCAAATATCCAATCGATCTCTCTCATCAAATGCATTTTGAAAACGGGATTGAACAATTATTCAATGAATCATTTCTTCAACCTATGCCTTCTGTACTTGAAGAGCGTGCACTCTATGAAAAACAACTCATTCTATCAATTAGATATCAATTAAATAAAGATCAATTGATTCTACGGCGAACCGCTGATGAAATGAATACATATTATCTTGGTCGATTGAATGAATGTAATCAAAAATCGAATGAATATATTCAGAATTCAACTTGTTACGAACTGATTGAAACAATTAATGAAATTAATACAGCACAACAACGATTAGAAGGAATTATTCAATCTATTGATTTACAACTAGAAATATTATATCAAAGAAAATTGATTAAAGAAGATCATTTAATCAGATTAAGTATTGGCAAAAAAACAAATATCAATCTTCCATATCTTTATTTCTTACCAGAAACAAATGAAAATGTTCATATGTCAGTACAACCACGACTATCATCATGTCAGCATTGTCCAATATATACTACTCTAGCTACTTATCTTAATCAACTTCTTCAACCATTATTTGATAATTTTTCACGATCAACAACATTTCTTAATGGTGGTGATTTTATACAAAAACTACAATATTATTGTATACAACTAGATCTTCTTCTACCGAAAACATATTTTGCAACATTTAAAATTCATGATTTATATACGATGATATCACATTCGGCTCTTCTTGAAGCATTAGATATATTTCTAGTAAATCCACTTGTCAATGGTTGACATCAAAAATTATCAAGTGATGCTATTCAAGAATTAACTGCAATAGTCTTACGAAATAATATTTTCTCTTACAATGGAAAATTCTATCGATTTATTAAAGGAGGTCCATTAAATTTACCATTAATAGAATTATTATGTCATATTTATATGCATCATTGGCAATATTCATTAGTTACACATATTTGTTTGAAAGATGCATTCTATGGTCGATATAAAGATACAGGTTTTTTAACATGGAATGGTCTGATTGATCAATTGCAAACATTATTCAATAAACTTGAACAAGAACTAGATTCGAATCTTCAAATGACAACAATTATTAGTAGTGATGTTCATTTTCTTCATGCTGCTGTTGAAAATCGAAAAGGATCTTTACATACTCATGTGTATCATGATTCAACAATTCAACCATTTTTATTACCTTATGAGCATAGTCATCCACGATTATTTCATCGACAATGGTTTCGAGCTGCTCTTATACGTGCTGGTCAATATTGTAGTTCGTTCGAAGATTTTCAAGACGAACGACTTTATATTGAACTAACATTTCTGGCTAATGGGTATTCATTAGATTTTATCAAGTATCATATCAAACGATTCTTGACAAGATTTAATCCAAATGAACAAAAACCAATGAATTTGAACCGATCTACATATCTTTCATTTCGTAATGAATTATTTCGTTGTATCGATCAACAAAAACGTGATCTATTCGAAGAACAACAACTACAAAAGAATCATCAATTAATTCAATTACATTATCTTTTCGATTGGGGTTCAAGATGTCAATTCAATCAAAAGTTTTATCAATATTGGTCTACTATTCTCGAGCAAGATCCAGAGTTTAAAAAATATAGATTAAAAATCAAACTTAATACTAAACATTGTTATTCACGGAATACTCTCTTGGCTCGATCGAATAATACATATCTATAAAGTGAGAGTAGTCAATTTTAAACGTTTATTTCTTTATATTTCTATACATTTAGATATTTCTAATGCTTGATTTTTAGCCATCTATTGCAATTTATACATGTTATTTTATTCTTCTTTTTTTCTGCATGTGTCTTATTTTTATGTTCTTAGTATAGTTAAACTTTTTTGTCAATAATATATTACTATAAAATTTTAATACATTCTGAACTATCACTCCTATTGTCTTACTCACTTTGAAAAATTCGTTATTATGATCATTAAAGTGATTGTTTTTTTGTTGTTGTATTTTTTCTAGTTGCTTTTTTCTTTAGATAGTATGAGAAAATGTTGTTTTCTATCTCATATATTCACTATGTTTCCTACTTTATATAGTAATGTACTAGAAATTTTTCGCTCTACATATTTTGTATTAGTTTAGCGAGGCTAGAAAATATACTTAAGTTCCACATCTCAGCTTCATTGAGGCTTCGCTAATAAGTTTTTTTTCTTAGATAGTAATATTGATAATATACACTATAATAAAGGTTCAAACAAAATGTCAAGTTCAAATGCTCAAGCCGGTTGGTATGAACTACCTTCACAAACACAAATATTCATTGGACAAAAACAAAACTTTGAGAATAACAAGAAGGAACTAAAGAAGAAGAAAAAGTCCCGTGGTAATCGGCG